CCCCCAGTGGGGGAGTTCAGTGGAGGACACTCAGACTCACCAGAGCTGACTGGCTGTAAAAAATGTGCTTTTCTAAAGAGGAGTTCTATCAGCTCATAAATCCTTCTAGAATCCACTGGAAAGTTTTCTTGTGGAGACAGTGTAAACAACGTCTGGAATCCCACAAAGTCAGAAAGACTTCCTTTTATGGACAGCTCTGGAGGGGCTGGGACTCTGGAGTGGTTTAAAAGTGGCCCCACGTGGCCCGTGTGTGCTGATGTCACTCACAGGGCTCCCCTGCTGGTGGCACCTCCTCAGCCGCGGGCCGTGGGCGCAGAGCCAGGGTGTGTCACGAGTTCTCGGCCGTGGTCACACTTCTATCCAGGGTGAAGCCCGTCAGCCAGAGAGGAAATCACAGCTGAGCCTTAGAGGGATTTCATGGATTTCTGGGGGGTCCTTTTTCTTAGGAAGTAATGGGGGACCTGTGAAAGGAGCTGCCAGTTTATCACTGCAAACCCTCCACAGCACTGTGGCTGTCGGGTGACACAGGACAGGGAGGGTCTCCTGGCGGGTAGTGGATTCTCTGTTCAGGAAAAATTCCTTCTTTGGAGGCAGGTGGCCTTCAAAATGTGGCCTCACTGTTTCCCAGAGGCTCCATCCCAGCTCCACCGTCACTGGTTTGGGGACCTTGGACAAATGAGTTAATCTCTCGGCACTTCCACTTTCTCGTCTCCAAAATGGGGTATTTTCTAGTACCGCTGCTTTCCAGCCTCGTGAGAATAAAGCAGCTCGCAGATCCAGCTTACCCCGACCCCGTGTGCTGCTGAGAGATCGGCCAGTGCCAGCCTCACGGGCACCATCGTGGCCTGGACGCAGGTCGTTTAGTGGGGAGGGGACGATCGAGTCACTCTTCATATCTTGCCTGACTTTTTCTTCCGGAGCTGGGGTGGCAGGCATTTTCTGTAAAGGGCCACACAGTCCATACTTTGGGCTCAAAGGCCAAATGGTCTCTGGTCCGGCTACTCAGCTTGTAGTTGGAGCTTGAGAGCAGCCACAGACACTGTGTACAAATGAGCGAGTTTCTGTTGCCACAAAACTTGAATTATTAAAACAGGCAGCAGAGCCGGCGGCCAGCCTCCCTCCCATTCCCACCCCCTTGGGGCCACATCCTGACCATCTGACTTCCCCTGACACCTTCTCCCATGTCTTTCAGGGTAGCTGGCCTGGTAGGCACAGGGGCTTTCCCTGTGCCCCAGGGGCTTCTCTCCTCGGAACTTTCCCTGGGGCCACAGGTGGTCTGTTGGTTGAGTGCTCACCCTGGCAGACAACTGGAAGCCAGTTTGGGGTGCCTTGACCGTCCTAGATATGAGGAGCTCCAGTTGGCTGTTTTTGGTGAAAAGCATCGTGTGTGTGTGTGTGTGTGTGTGTGTGTGTGTGTGTGTGTTTTTTAAAGCAGAGAATAGAATTTTCCAGCAAGAACAGAAGTGAGGGAAGGCACTTTGGTTCCGAGCTCATGTGAGAGGGCCCTTCTCGGAACCATGGCCTCCTCTGTACTGGACATTTGCCTGTACAAATGCCTGGACATTTGCTCGGTCACCTCTTTTTTGCTCCAAAGGTTAATTAGCTCACTCTCTCTGATTCTGGTTAATAAGCAGCAGCCTCTTGTCCTGCAGCCACTCTGAACCCTTGCCACAGCCTTTCCTGGTTTGGGGTGGCTGGCTGCACCCCGGCTGCGTGCCTCCTGCTCTCTGGGGGCTATGACTCCCTGTGGCCCCTGTGACTGAGGGCTTCACAGGTTTGCAGGCCAGGTGCCACCGTGGCCCACGGTGCGCTCCGGGTACAGCTCGGACCTCGCACATGTTCTCTGCCTGCCCCTGGCTTGTGCAGGGACTGGAGCACAGGGCTGTCCCTCCCTCGCTGGCCTGGTGGGGTCCCATTCAGCTCAGTAGGCAACCTCTGCCCCGCACTCAACTAGCCATCTAATGGACACTGTGCACCTGGGCGTGTCCTTCTCGGGAAAGGGGAATCTGGGTTTTGCGTGGGGGTTTTGCATGGGGGTAGGTCCTGGGTCTTGGGTGAATATGGTGGTGGGAGAAGTCAGGAGAAGCCGAGGGTTACTTGGGCCATCGAGATGGAAACCAGAGGCCCCGAGAGGGGGCAGAACTGCGATCAGTGCACTCACTCTGCACGTGGAGGCGGGCGGAGTGCAGCACACGGCCCGGAGGCGGCTGGGCCCGGTGCAGCCTGGCAGGTGGGTGCATCTCTGTCCCCCCCCCCAGGTTTGAACTCATGCACGTGTGCTGGCAATACAACCCCAAGATGAGGCCTTCCTTCCTGGACATCATCGGCAGCATCAAAGACGAGATGGAGCCTAGTTTCGTCGAGGTCTCCTTCTACTACAGTGACGAGAACAAGCCGCCCGAGGTCGAGGAGGAGATGGAGATGGAGATGGAGATGGAGCCCGACAACATGGAGAGCGTGCCCCTCGACCCCTCGGCCTCCTGCGCCTCCCTGCCCCTGCCCGAGCGACACCCCGTGTACAAGGTGGAGAACGGCCCCGGCCCCGGCCCGGGCATGCTGGCCTTCCGGGCCAGCTTCGACGAGAGACAGCCGTACGCGCACATGAATGGCGGGCGCAAGAATGAGAGGCCCGTGCCCCTGCCCCAGTCTTCGACCTGCTGATGTGGGTCCCCGAGTCTCGTGCAGACAGTGATCTGTGTGCACGCTCGGTGGGTGGGGGGAGCGAGTTCTAACAATCTGTTCACAGCCTCCTGTACCTCAGTGGATCTTCAGAACTGCCATGCTGCCCACAGGGGACGGCTTCTCTGCAGTAAACACACTTGGGATGTTCCTTTTTTTCAATATGCAAGCAGCTTTTTATTTCCCTACCCAAACCCTTAACTGACACGGGCCTTTAAGAACCTCAGTGGCAACACTTAATAGCAACAGGACACTTGAGAATCGAGTCTCCTCACTCCTTCCCTGTCTGTCTGTCTGTCTGTCTGTCTCTCTGTTTCATAATGGAAAAAACATTTGCCACAAGCCCAGCCCGGACGCCCTTTTTATCAGATTGAGGAAATGGCTGTCCCTCCCTGTGGCCCCATCTTGTTCCCATACACACCTGCCCATCACCGTCGTAGGTCTTTATAAAAAAAAACAACCTGTAGTGATGGCATTTTTTAACTGTATCTTTAACTTTTTTTAGGGACACATGAAATTTACCAAGGGCCATCATCCCTCCAAGGTTGTTACCATTTTAACGCTGCCAAATTCTGCCAAAACCCAGGGCTTTGTCCCTCACAGCCCCTGCGCTTGTTTCCTGGTTAGCAGAGGCACAGGCGAGCATGGTCTCTGGTCCCTCCTGTGAGAGCCACGCTGGCCACGCCTGCCGTCTGACTGTCCCCTGGTGTTCTTGTCCAGCCTCACGTCCACACAGGTCAGTTTGCTTTTGACGAGGTTATTATTCAGGGGAATTGGACAGAGTGGGACTTGAAGTCAGAGAAGACGGGGAGAAGCCGCCCTGGCTTCCCTGTGCCACCTCCCCGCCCCCACCTCCTAGCCCCAGGAATTCTGTAGCAAGCAGACCCTGTCGAGGGAGAGCCTGGCAGGCAGGCTTTCAGCAAAGGGCCCACGTGCCAGTCTCCTGCCCCACCAGGTCCCCCTCCTGGCCCCCAAGGACACAGATGAGAAGGGGTGTCCAGGGACTGAGCCCAGCTGTTCATGCAGCTTTGCAGGGAAAGCAATTCAGACCACACAACAGTCAGAAGAAAAGCAGTAAATGGATTCAAGCATCCTCAGCTTTGTTGACATTTCCTGTTGCTAGGACTTCTCCAGGGTCTTACAGCTCTATGTCAGACCACGAAACATTTGCATACACGTCTTTAACGTCACTTTTATAACTTTTTTACGGTTCAGATACTCATCTATACGTCTGTACAGAAAAAAGAAAGCTGCTATTTTTTTGTTCTTTTTCTCTGTGGATTTAACTATGAAAACTTTCAGGTCTCTCCCTCTCCCCTCTCTGCTGTCGCCAAGAAACTTCCTGTGCTTTGTACTAGACTCCGTGACTTTCTCCCTCTTTTCCCAGTAACTGACACATGTAGGACATAATTTGCCACGAACTGTTCGATGCCTTTTTATAACTCACTCCCCCCGTCCCCGCTCCCCTGGCCCCGGTAGTTCTGTTACAACCTGTAGGCTCTGTGAGGCTGGCGAGGGAAGTAGGTGGAAAGGGGGTCCCTCCTCCGCCTGCTCTCACACAGCATTGGAGCCTGTCACCCTGCCAGACGTGATACAAGCTCAGGTCAGGACACAGGTTGAACACTTCACACGTCCTGTTCAGTGTTTCTAGTCACAGTGCAGGAAAGCCGCCCCTTCTCTTTCCCTGGCCTTCGTTTTGGTTGTGACACACATATATCTTTTTTTTTTTCTTTTTTTTTTAATTCTTGGGTACAACAGCAGTTTGAACTGCAGACACTAGTCTTTGGATTACATTTTTTTTATTTGTTTCCTTTTAAGTGGATATTTAATCCTTCCATCCTATGAAAAACAGCTGCTGGGTCCAAGGGTGCAGCAGAGTGTGGTCCAGCGGGCCCCTCTGTGGCCTTCCGCCACCACCCTCCAGACCGATCTACCTGTTCTCAGAACCAGGAAATCCCCAGGGACCTCCTTGCACGGGCAGGGAGCGGGCGCAGGGGCAGCTCCTCGCGGTGTCGGCAAGCCCGCCGCCAGGTCTGCCGGGCACGCCCGAGCTGAGCCACAGTGGCCGAGGAGCCCGTGCTCACTCCAGGGGACCAGGGCCCTGGCGCTGGCACGCTTTCCCTGGCCAGGAATCCAAGTCCTCAGGGCCCGGGGGTCTTTTGTTAAGTTTTTAGCACTTCTCACCAGAATGATGACAGCATAGACTTGCTTCTGGGATGGAAACATTTAAATTATGAGTAAGAACAAAGCTCAGATGTGATGATTGCTAGCTGTGACTAGAGATTCGATTCAAGAAGGAAAGTTGGGAGTGCTGGTGCTCGTCAGTAGATTCAGTCCCAGTATTTTCTCTAGCCTCTGTCCCATAGTTTGTCCCTTTAAAAAACTGAGTAAAAGAAAAAAGTTAATTGAGAAGGTATATGTAGGAGTTCTCTTTTCTGGTTCCAGTTTCAATTGTTGAAGAGAAGCCCCTTATGAATTGAAATACTGACAAAAAGGGTTTTTGCGTGTATAAGAAGGGACAGTTTTTGTTTTTTGGGTTTTTTTCAAACATTTATCTACCTCACACTTATTTTTTATATGTGTATATACAAAAAGGAATACATCTCACATTTCTCAGCACCTGACAATATGCCATTGATACCGGTAACCTCATCCACCCACAGGCGCACACACCCGTGACGCAGGGCCAGGCCAGGCTGTGTCCCAGGGTCGCAGCAACACTCTCTCCCCTCTCCTGTCATTTCAAACAGCTTGCCTTTTCCTGAGCTGTCTCATCTGGCCTTGCTTTCTTCTTCTTCTCCTAACTCGGTTCCCTAAGAGGTTGTGAGGTGTCAGTATTTCCCCCCTCGGCCCAGTGTCCCCGCTGGTTGTCTTTGAAACCAACTGCTTTGTGCAGACAGACTGGCGATCAGATTCTGTCATTGGAAGAGCAGTGGTTTCCCGGGTTTTGAGGGCAGGAGGGGCCGAGGGGCAGACCGTCTCCGTTAGCATCCCGCCTGCAAAGGCACAGCGTGTGGGTTTGCTTCAGCGGGCGCCACTCTCGCAGCCCCGGCGAGAACCGCAGCAGCCTCAGCGCTGAGCCCTGCCCGCCAGGCCTCCTGCTCGAGAATGCAGAGGTCCCTACCTCCCAGCCCATCCCTTCCAGAATGTACTGCAGAGAAAAGTCCCCGTCCCCCTCTCCAGACTGTTCTCTCAACTTCACCCTCATTTCCTCCTCCCTCCCAGGGGAAAACAAAGATGTACCAAACCTTCGGGCTGGAGAGGGTAGTGGTCAGTGCCAAGCCTCCTTCTGGGGTGTCGCCCCTCCCACCAGGCCGTGCCTCTGTCCGTCCTGCTGCTCACAGGGGTGGACGGCACATCCCCCGATTCCAACAGCTGCTCTCACAGGCACTGGTGGTTTGATCTGGGCGACATGGGGGGGCTCTCCAAAGTGTGGGCAGCTCCTTGAGAGTCCCAGTACTGCAGCTAAGCTCAGGGGCAGTTCCCCTCTTGCAGGAACACCCCTCTCCTCTCCCAAGTCCCCTGGGACCTCGAGGTCATTGAGAAATACTGTCTGATCAGGGTTTTCTTCACCCACACTGTAGGTGACCCCTTGGAATAGTGGCCTCTCCTCTCTTTTGCACATACCTTCCGGTTTCCACAACTGGATTCCTACAGATCATTCAGCTGGTTATAAGGGTTTCATTTAAACTGTCCGAGTTGTTGGTGTCATTATGTTTTTGTTTGACGTTGGTGGTTTTTCTTTAAGTAGAAAGCAAACACTAACAGTGTAGTGCCCATCGTAACAAACGCTTCAGAAACAAATAAGAGCAACGCTTGCTTGGGTGATGGTGCAGTCATCTTACTGGACCAAACCATCCACCTGGACTCTGCCGAGGCATCATCTATCCAGTTCCAGCCTGACTGTATGCTGACTTCCCCGCCTCTTCTGGATTTTTCTCTCTTGTATGCTCCGAATAATTGACTCAAACTGAGCTGTGGCACTTTCCACGCAACCTCCTTCTGACAGCAGCTCCCACTGCTTGAAGCGACACGAACGAACCACTGAGGCACATCGCTGAGCGGATGTGAGCATTAACACATTGTCACGCGCAGCCCTTCCCCGAGGCAGCAGGAGCTGGCGTGTTCTGGAGACTGGACTGCAGCTGGGTGAGACCCAGACCACCCAGGTCTCCTTTATGGGTTATCGTGACGTTTGCTACACAGTCAGAATGAGATTCCTCCTTGGGAGATAGAAGACGGGGTTCTGGCCAACACTGGCCTCCCCTTCCAGCCTGTTTCTCGTGACTTGGAACAACATCTCGACGGTCGGAGAAGCAGCTTGGTAAAATAGAAAAGTGGTTATTGTGGAACTACCCAGTGGCAAAATCCTTGGCATGAACTGGTGTGTTTTGGTTGAAGTGAAAGATTCATGAGCCAAGTATGATGCCAAATCCTAGGCCAGTTGGTTCCACGGAAGCCTTCCTCAGTAGCCCACCTCTATTGGCAGGTGGGCATGTGACCCAGGCCACTCTTGTGGCAAGGTCACACTAGCTCAGTGGGTGAGAAGGCTAGGATACTCGGTCCAAGGTCCTCGCTGTCACTGCTGGGTCCTCCCAGAGTGGCCAGAGTATGGGAGGCAACTCCTTTCCAAAGCGTAGGCCCTTTCCAGTTGACAGTGGCCCTCCATGCTCTGCCTTGGTCCTTCCCAGCAGTCCCAGTGACACATTTAAGGTTTGGGGCTTGTTCTCTGGGTAAAGTTTGTTGGCTGTCCTTCTGTTTCCTGGGCTAAGCAGCATTGGGAGATGTGGACCAGAGAGCCACTCGTTAAGAGCCAGTGATGAAAGGCAGACTTTCTCACTCCACTCTGACATAGTCGGTACGAATGAGAACTTCAAGAAAGGATGTTTAGATTGAACCTCTCTGTTGCCAGAGATGCTGAAGATACAGACCTTGGGTAGGCCAGAGGGCTTCTGGCCTCCAGCTCAGATGACTAGTTGGTCATTTAGAGGAAAAGCAGATGACCACTCCTTGATGGTGGAATGATCAGGCAGTAGGAAACCACTGTAACAGGGGTCCTGACGGGGCGAGAAGAGAATTGCGAGCAGAAGGGCCCGGGGCTTGGGAGAAGTGTGGGCCACGCTATGAATCTGATGGTTTCTTGAATGCGTTAGACCACATCAAGGCTCAGGAGTCATCCACGGGCATTTGTATTCAACAGATAAGCCTAACATCCTACATTGGGAACTGTTATTGCGGAGTTAAGTCCAATTGTTCAAGGACACGAACTGCACCGCGCCCGTCGGTGGTCAGTTCTGGGGCATGACTTTAGGGTTTTGTTTTATTTTGTTTATGCAAGAACATGATTACTCATCTGTATGGCCATGTTTGTGTGTTTCCGCATCTTTCTGGTAAACGTTGTTTTAACTAGTCACACATTAGCATTTTCAATAGGGCTCTCAAGTCCAGTAGATACGGGTAGTCAGTTGACGAAGATCTGGTTTACAAGAACTAATTAAACGTTTCATTGCATTTTTGTAAGAACATAGCATAATTTTATACAACGTTTGTAGTTTGTAATTGCCGAAATAATTTAAACACACTTTTATTCTCTGTGCAAATGTGTGCTTATAATCCATTTTTTTAAGACACCTGTTTACTAGTTAGCTTTACAATATGCCAAAAATGTATTTTTCCCTGCCCCAGGCCGAGGTTTACCCTCTTTACCCCTATGCTTAGTGCCCTAGTTTATAACAAAGGGATGATGGTGATTTAAGTAGTTCTGTATCTTCAGTATCTTGGTCTTCCTGAACCCTCTGATTGGGAAGGGGATCATCTTGTACTGGTCATTTCCCTTTGCAGTGTAGCTACTTTAACAGACTGCAAGAACCTCACTGGCCAAGGAAACGGCAGAGGTGTTGCTGCCCAGAGGTGCCTGCGGCACTCCTGGGCGTCTGGTGTGGCTGTGACCATTGTTGTGCAGGCCTCGAGATAGAGAGTGTGGCTGCACAGCTCATGGTGTCATATAATCACCGCATCCAGACTTATCACAAAAGATAATTTTGGTACGCGCAGACTGCTTGCTTATATGCCTCATATCGTGATTAATGCTTTGTTATAACAAGGAAGAGACTCTGTTTATTTTTTAGGCACAACACCGAAGATACATTTTTTCCAATATATATTAAAAAATTCTTTTTAATAAAAACTACACAAAAAAAATTTTTTTTAAAGCCTGACTCCATTTCCTCTATCTCCCACTGGACTATGGGCCATACAACTCCACAAAACCCCATCATTGGAAACATGTGGGTGTTTTGGGAGAAAGGTCCAGAAACATTGTTTTCTGTTTTCTACTTTGCATTCAGATGTTTGACACTGTGTAGACACATCCACAGGTGGATAGATGTCCGGTAAAAACACCTGTCTGCTTTCTAAGCCAGTGAGGTTGAGGTGAGAGGTTTGCCAGAGTTTGTCTACCTCTGGGACAAAATTTAAAAACAAAACAAAACCGGAAGGCGCGATGGAATGGATGCATCGCAGATCATTCATTTTCTGAGTTTTCTTGTTTAAAAAAAAAGTTTTTTACAAAAGGTTTTTAAAAATCGGTCATTAACAAAGCCAATTTGTTACTTAAAATGACTTTCTGTGTAAAAGTTATTCCTAAAAAGTTCTTGTTTATATACAAAAAATCAGTAGCCGAAAAAAATTTCGATAACGTTTTTGTATACTCACTCTATTAAGAATTTATTCCTGTTACTGCGATATACTCTGGATTCTTTACATTATGGGAAAAAAAAAAAAAAAAAAAAAAAAAAAAAATTTTTTTTTTTTNCTGTTACTGCGATATACTCTGGATTCTTTACATTATGGGAAAAAAAAAAAAAAAAAAAAAAAAAAAAAACTTTGTCTATTTTGAATGGCTGAAGCTAAGGCAATTTTAGTTTATCTTACTCTGCTTTTTTCTAGTAGCTAAAGTACTACATGGTTTAAGTTAATAAAGGACTTCTGTATGCATCTGTGGCCTCTGATTTTGTTTGCGCCTTCGTGGAAGAATCACCAGGCTTCTGAGGCAGGGACACTGAGCTGCTTGCATGCAGCCTGCATGTTCACACATATGTCACTGGAGGTGTTCTGGGTGAAGGCTCTGCTTTATTTCTGACAGTGGAAGCCTTGTAGCATGCAAACTGCTAGGGAAGGCAGGGAAGCTGTTCTGTTTCTCAATCCATGAAATCAGCTAGAAGAGAATTTGAATACCTAAAATAGAGATCTGTATTTCAGTTTTGACTCATCTGTAGACTTTCCCTACACCTTCCACTGACAAAAGTCAGGCCAAGGGGGCAGGCTTGATCTGGCTGACTCTGGGGCAAAGGACTTGACCTCCACATTTCCATGTCGTTACCTCATGGCCAGTGTACCTGCTCAGAGGGGCAGGGGAGAATGCGGTGTTCGGAAATGTTAGTTTCCTTACGCTGATGCTCTCCGCCTGCCCCGAGAACTCTACAGTCCAGGCAGCATTATCTCTGCGAAGGAAATGGTCACGGCAGGAAATGTGAATACATGTTTAAAGGAAACAAGCTGTCCATGTTCTAGAGTCAGACCAGAGGTGCTCAGAAACATCAGGAAAACAAGCTGATCAGTCACTAAACTTTGATTGTGGGAGATTTTACAGCAGTAACAAACTCGGGCCGGCGAAGACGGCTCAACAGCAAAGTGTAGGCAGCGTAAGTAAATCAAAGGCTGTGCTTTCTTAAGATCTGGTGAGGCTCACAAGTACGTGGACCTAAAACAAGAGGCGTTTCTAAACGAAGGGACCCCCGGATTTTGCTCACCATTGTTTTGAAGTGTTTGGCCGTCAGGGGGCTGTTAGTAGATGACCAGTGACAAAGGCAGACTTGTTTCCGAAGCTATGGCGATGTCCTGGCTGCTGGCAGGGTGAACACAGGAGGCCAGCATGCCTCTCCCATACTCCCAGATGGATTAATGCTGCCTTCCAGGCTGCTGAGGTGCATTCTGCACCTGTCCTCAGGAGGAGCAGCGACTTCTGAGGAAGAAGGTGCTGGGTCTTCAGAAGTGTTACAATCTCTCCCTTTGCCACGTCTTAAGACCTCAAGTCCAGCAAGGTCGCTTCCGTTTTTACCTTCACGGGTCCAGCCATGAGCCCAGCGGTCTCCCATCACTGACGGACTTTCACATCCGTTCTCTCACTGCATCTTTGTAAGAATTCTGCAAAGGAAGGAGCTTTGTTAGTTTTATAGATGAGCAAATAAGCAGACATGCCACAGACCCCCCAGCTATTAAATGACCAACCCGAGGCTCAGCCTTCTCAGCTGTGGTTTTCAAACTGACTCAGAACTGCAGCACAGTCATAATCAAACAGGCCCGGTGTGTATCAATGGGGGACGGCATTTAGCCTAGGATGTGGGCCCTCTGGGGTTCTCCCTAAAGAATTTTGGAGGCCACAGAGGGGGAAATGACATATTCACCAAGAGGGAGCTCTGGGACCTCCCAACCAAATGACATCTAAAACTTTGTGACATATGTATGGCTTGGTGCCAAGCAATCTAAAATAACACAGAAGCCGGGACAGGAGGCCCCCTGCTTGCCACTGTCCTCATACGAGAACTAGAATAAGGGAGAGGTGGGGGATCAAGGGCTCTGGGTAGCAGTGTTTGCCTACAAATACAGAAGGATCTGCACATTAACAACCATGCAGCTGGACGTATGCGTGCAGCATGCTTGTGCATTTGCGCACTGGCCAGACCATCCCACTTCCACTTGCTGGCTTTGAGATGCTACACTGTGACTTTGATCTGTTTTATTTCAAATGATCCAGTTTTATTTGCAAAGGGGGTCCTGTAAAGTCTGTTCCAAATGCAATAACCAAAAGGTAGAAGCAACTCAGTGTCTGTCAAAAAATAAATGGAGAAGCAAAATGCAGTCTATTCACACAATGAAATATTATTCAGCCTTAAAAAGGAAAGAAATTCTGACACGTTACAACACAAATGAACCTCGAGGACATGCTGAGTGAAATAAGCCAGTCACAAAAGGACTAATATTGTGATTCTGTTTATATGAGGTCCCTAGAGTAGTCAAATTCAGAGACAGAAGGAAGAATAATGGTTGCAAGTGGGGAGAAGGGGTATATTGTTTAATAGGTACAGAGTTTCAGTTTGGGATAAAATTCTAGAGATGATGGTTACACAGTGAAAGCACATAATGCCACTGAACACTTAAAGATGGTTAACGTGGTAGATTTTATGTTACATGTATTTTACTACAATTTTTTTTAAGTTTAAAAAGAAACAAGAAACACTTGAGACTCAGTGGCTTGAAAGCTGCCCACAGCACCTGGATGCAGGAGCTTAGAGGCCAGGAATGGGGCACTAAGCAGTGACCACACCTGTATGTCCCATGGCCAGTTGATCATAGATCAGCCCACCATGTGAGGCTCTGTGGAACAGGTATGTGGTCCCAGCAATCTGGGCAGGATCACACAGGCCCGCTGCATCGTCTTTCAAGAGAAGAAAAAAAAAAAAGACTAGGATTTCATTTTATTGTCATGAAAACCATAACTGAAGCTAGTTAATCCCTTGTGAAATGCCTGCCTTTCAGAGTGTTCTACTGCCTTCTGACAATAAAATAACCCTCTGTCATTTTGTTGGGCAAATTCAGAATCTGTTCCTCTGTGTAAGCTGTTTTACAAGCAATTTTTTTATAAAACCTCTCAAAGCAAAGTTGAACTCTCCGCACAGGACTGAAACATTTCATTTTCTCCCAAAGAGCACTAAGGTGGAGTTTTCTGTGAACCAGGCTTTGAACTTGGGCTTTCTCACCCTCCTCCAGCATCTCCTGGATGATGACTTGCAGGGCTTTTCCCAGCAGGCCGGCCGGGAGCTGGGGAGATAATGGAGGCACGTGGATGAGTGCCGCACACCCATTTCCAAGATGCAAAGACAGGTAGTAGGTGTAATCGCAGACGTATCTGCAATGGCAGGAAACACCCGGTTACTCCTTGGACCAGCCTCTACCTTCAGGGACAGGTAACCAGAAGCGGCCCTGAAGTGTCGCCGAACCCCCAGGAGGGAGGACTGCCACCCTGGGGGACGGAGGTTTTCATTCTTCTGCCTCAGAAAGAACATGTTACTGGGAATGAGCTGGGGGGAGCCTGGCTCTTGGCCTCCTGGTCTCATGACTAGCAAGTGGCCGAGCTGGGTTCACCTTTTTTTTTTTTTAATTTTATTTTTGTTTAAAATATTACAGATGTCCCTTTGTCTCCCCAGTGACCCGTTCCACCCTGTCCCTTCCCCCTCCCCAGTCCCTCTCCCCACCATTGTCCATGTCCTCGGGTTGTGCATATATGCATATAAATTCTTTGGCTACTCTCTCCCCCTCCACCCACCCGCCCTCCTCCATCCCTCTGACCCGTGAACCCCTCTCCTTCGTGCCTATTACAGATTCATTCATTTTTTTGCGGGGAGGAGAAGCTACCTACTGGGAGACAACGTTAGGAGAAACAAAGGTAAGTTCAACTCTACCTGGGGCTAAATCATAATAGTTCAAGCACAATTTTGCCCGCAATCAATAAAACAAAAGCACCCATAAAAATCAGTGGCTCTCAAAATAGGCCTTCACGTCTTTTTTCTACCAACACCCCAAAGGCCGTGTTAAGGGGAGGGGGCCTTGGACCCCGGGGTGGGGGTGGAGATGGGGGGACCTCCTGGAAGAAAGAGGGGTCCGAGGACACCGCGGCCATCCTCCCCTATGCGCTCGGGAACGCGACAGAACACACCTGCCCGCGTCGCGGGAAAACGCCACCGGCACGCCCTCCACGGCCACGCGCCGGCTGACCGCCTTCATGCTGACCCGCGACTCAATCACTTCCGGGCCATCCGGAAGGCACGCGCCGCGCTCGGGCCGGAAGCCGCGGACATCGGTCTCGCGATAACTCTGGTTCCTGCCGCACTGTTCTAGAACCACGGCCTTGGCGGCGGCGTCCAGGCCCACGTGCACGGTGAGCTGTGGGGACAGGCGACAGCGGGCAGGCGGGGACACTGAGGCCCGCTTGTCCCCGGCTGTCGCGGAGGGGCCGAGCGGCGGGCGAGGGCAAGGGCGAGGGCGAGGCGGCCAAACACCTCAGACCGCCACCGCGCTCTGTGGCCGCCTCGCCTCAGGTCCGCCGGTTAATACGCTGGCTTGAAATTTAAATTTCCAACAAAATGCTTTTATATTTTAAAATATCCTTAAGCAGGGTAGACTATTCCCTTTTATCCCCCCCGGGGGTGGGGGGCGTCCAGCTGCTCT